AGATTCATTGCTCCGATAAAATATAAAGATGTTTTTAATTAATTTGGCCTGTGTAATGTAATATTAATCAATTAAGATAATTATAAATTCGTTGTAAGACAAAACAACGAAAACAACGCACTTACGAAGTTTTTGTCCAATATAGTATATTATACATAATTATTTAATAAATTGATCAAACTGCTTATTTTTTAAGATGTTTTAATATGATTCTATACATTTTTACTTTTAAAAATTCTTCATTCATTATTGGTGAAAATGTAATAGGTATGACGGGAGGTAAATAATAATATAAATATTCATCATTTATTCTCATAACATTTTTGTCGAAATACTTATTTAATCAAAATAATATGTTGTTTTCAATTTTAATAATAATGTTAAAGTAATAAAAGAAAAAAAATGTTCGTAGATTCAAAATTACGAAAAATTCCAAATTTTTTTGTTGTTAAAAATGTTTAATTTTTTTAGTTAAGTATTGAAATTTAAAACTGAGATTATTGCCTTTTTATAAATAGTTCATACTTACTGTGACCAACAAATTACTCCATCTATTATAGATATTTTAAGTTCAAATTTTGGTAAAATTAAATATTTAAACCAAGGATAACAATTTTAGTTATTTTGTTTTGATTTAAAAATATTATTTGTGGTTATTTTTAAAGTATACAAGTATGTTATTTATTTTTATGCACACAATGACATTTTTAAATGCAATGTTTTCAGCATAAATTAATTCAACCAAATATATTGTATTACTAATAGTATAAAAATTACTTTAATAGCAATAATATCATAAAATGTACTTATTACTTAGATATATGCTATTATGCTGACAGATCTTTGCTCAGAATTGTTGTTCGTATACAATGATTTAATATCATTGAATTAAAATTAAATACGTTACAGTGACCCACTCGACACCAAAACAGTATCCACTTGCTCGCCTTTCTTGCAATAAATTAAACTAACTATCAAACCTTATTTAACAATCACCTACTTCAGACTTCAACAAATTGTCGTTTTATCTGTTAAAAAGTATAAAAATGTAGTAACCTACAAGGTTCCTTATAAGTAGTTGTTATAGCAATTTCAAATATTAAAGTCTAAAGATACATAGGCACATTTTTTTCGGTCCATTACTATAATAGTAATATAAAATAAATACATCATAAAATATGCATAGTAATTCAGACGGTCTGTATTTATACAGAATCGATTTTGGTATGCAAAATGTATCATTGAATTAAAACTTAACACATAGGTGACATTACACTATTACAGTAACTTACTCATGCCCAACGATGAGGTACATTTACTGTCCAGTGTTACCTACTTTCCTCTTTTTTTAAAACCATATTATTTTTTCAACACAAACTGATGAAAATATTATTAAAAGATCACATGATTTGTATTCAACTTACTTAGATGATATAAATTCTAACTTCCCACAGAAAATGGTATGCAAAAAAACGGTTATTAAAGATAAAAAATTACAAATACCTAATAAAACATATTCTGGATAGTTAGGTATGTATATGAATAATAATGTTTAGAGTAGTTTTACAGACGTTTAAAGTGCTTGCGTTATTTTTATTACAATGCCCACAATTACTGTGGCTGGACTGCTTAGGCAAAAGAATCATTTTCAAACTAAAACTAATAAAGAATTTTGTAAGAAACTCGTGTGGACAAGAAGATTTATTTTTACTCCATTCACATTTAGAAGGAACCTTGGCGGCCGATTTGTGCGCAGTTGTGTGGCTTAACCACACAGATGGTTGATTGGTAGGAGTGACAAACAGGTGTTGCCTGACAAAAACTGGTCGCCGCAGAGGTTCCTTTTTAATGTAAATGGAGTATTATATTAAAATTTTAAACATAGAAATAAAAACAAGAAATTAACCATAACTTTTCACAATGAAAAGGTAATTAACAATTTTGACAAATTTCTTAAAATAGAAGAACCAAATAGTATGTGAATTATTATGTTAAAAAAAAAGGTAACAGTACTACCTACTACAATTTTTTTAGGGGGGGGGGCGTACAATTTTATACAACGGCAGGGTCCCAAGAGTTCAAGATCCAGCACTGGGGGTCTGGGGCTTCTTCCCAAAGGCCCTTTGTTGTCTCACTAAACACGAGGTCCTGCGTGGCCGTACTTCCTGCACACTCCTCAAGCCAGCTATGCTTATGGATAGCTAATTTTACCATAATATACTAAATAAAACCTTATACAACAATTATGAACCATTGTAAAACATCTCACAGAACAGAATCTAGAACAATTTATGACTAATACAATTGGTGAATATAGAGTTAAATGTTGAGTTATTTCATGCAGTAGGCTTTTTTCAATGCATCTTAAGTAATTTTAGATTCTATTTCTTAAGATAATAATTAGGATGTGCCAATGACCTAAGTATCTTATACACTCTTTGCAATATAATATTGCTTTAGTTTGAAGAATAAAATACTATTTGATCATACTATTAATATGTACAAGGTTATGATATAGGTACTTCTATAAGAATAAATCTACAATTAAAACATACTCATACACAATAACCCTTTGTTTTTTAGATATCTAAAATACACAAAGAAAACTACTTCTTTGGGATCTTTCTGTTGTTTATATTTTTTAACTATTAAATAATTAAAGAATCATATATTTTAATTTGTTGTTTCTTTGTATAACATGTAAGTATACATGAAAAGTTTCCAAATTAAAATTATAAACCAAGTTAGAATAATTGAGTTTTATAAGATATTGGTTAGTTAAAATTATTTGTATCTAGATTCTAGTTCTATGTACGAGATCTATATAGGTACTCTGAATCTAAAGGATTAATATTTTTTAAACATGTTACATATTTTGCATAACACAAGTACTTTTATTTGTCCAAAACATACAATGTTAGTAGTCATCACTAATTAAAAAAACTATTATATTTAAATTCTACCTTATACTATAGATGGAAGTAATAATAATTGGAAGCAGTTTATAAAAATAATTTCCAATACTATTAAGCAGCCTAATAAAAATAGTATGTCAATTATTGTACCTTTATTATTATATTATTACTACTCGCATTATTATTGATTTAAATAAACCTTGAAAGGAAATTAAAATAATAAATACTTATTATATACGATTTTATAATACTCACATTAATGGAAATTGTTTCTTTGCCTTCAAATGTGAATTTTTGTAAATCCGGCTTCAAAAATAAATCATATAACACTGGTTTTACAGATTTCGGTAGTCGTCCAAAAGGTTTCTTGTCCACGGCCATTTTACAGTATTTTTTCGTGAACGAACTCGATAAAAACAATCGAAAACACCTACAAAACAATAACAAAATAAATCACCAACAACAAAAACTATATTCGCCGCAATGATGTCACAGATTCGCGTTTATATACACTAACACGCTCGCGCGCATATACGGTTTTCAATTACATTAACACACTAACACGATTCTAGGTATCCTCCTCTTCATACCCCAACAGAACATAACGGTAAACCGAGTTTGCTGTTTTTTAAGTCCCTCTATATACGTATAAACGGAAACCGGTTTTATGTTCAAAAAGTAGGCCTATAAAAAAAATCCTTCTTGAATATCACCTATATAATAATGTTGTTCGTGAACCGCGAATCAATCGCAAATTCGTCAACGACGTAATAATATATAATAATATTAGAGACGCGTTTTGGAAGGTATATCGAATTTAATTTCTGTCCACCCCTAGCCCGAGGGTCAATAACATTGAGAAATTACGCGTTTTTTCGCCGAACGCATCTCGTGAATTATAAAGTACATAGGTGTACTACATACGCCTCTACGACACAAAACGTCACGTTCAAACACAATAATAATAATAACAATGTGATATTATTATGACAGAAAAGTAATTGTCAAAGAAAAACAAAAACGTGTAAAATTAGAAAAATTTACTCACTGTTGAAACGGTGTTTAATTTGATTTATAGTCGCTATTTGTAATTAATTTTTTTAATATCGTCAGTATTTTTCGGGATAATATGTAGCGATAATTAATCGGACGACGATAAATCCCAATCAATCGAGCACGGATAACTACACCGAAGGAGAGACGAGAATGAATGAATCAATGAAACCACATTACCGCAAGCACGCCACCACGCCAGTACACCACACGGTTAACACTTAACAGTTAACACTTAACAGATAAACGCAGAACGGCAGAACAGAGTGACGAGGGAACACGTAAATACGTAATAAGTACAGGTTAACTCGCCTATTCTGGGTGGTGGTGAGTGGAAGCGGAACTGTGGAAGGGAAGAAAAACGTAACATAAAACGCGGCCCGATTCTCCGTCCTTGTCTCTCCGATCCAATATCGTAGCGTTCCATTGGTCGTCGGCGTCTAACAGTCGGGCCACAACCCATTAGCTGCTCCACATAGTACCGAGTTTAGTTTTATATAGTAGGCCTCACGCAGTTGTCCGTCACGCATACGATGTGGCGACACTCTCCCGGTCTTGTGATAAGGGCACGTGAAATCAAATAATAATAAATAATAATACCAGCAGCAGGCTACCTATCAATATTGACAAATTAGTTATTACAATAGTACCTACTCTAGTAAAGTTATTGTAGTTATTAGTTACTATAAAATCAACTTACGGTTCATCATCCTCGTCCAGGATAAAATAAATGTTTATTTTCATGCAACGTTCGTCATATTCACTCGAAATTCGAAAGACGCAAAGTGAATAACGACAATAATAATAATAATAATAATAATAATTACCCATAACACTAATAAATATTTGTTCTGGTCTGGTTGTTGATCAACCAGTTGACTGAGATCATTGAACTACTATAATTGTTCCTTCGTTCATTGCTCCACTGCTCGTTGGTGTACTTGTGTTTTACTTACCACCATCATTGACTAGATTCACACGTTTTGAATTGATTTGTTGTGAACACCATAACTGAGTTACAAAAACACCAACATGAACAGGCCGAGAAATCAAGCTGAACAAGAACTGAAAGCCAGGGCTCGCATATATGTAGCGAATATACCGCAGCCTGGTATGACTCGCAAGGAAGTGGTGTCCGTATTTCACAAATACGGCGAAATTGATAGTAAGTTGTTTGCCATACCTTTAATATGTTCAATAATTTTGTAAGAAATAACATTTTTTTTCAGATGTTTCTCTACAGACTAGACATGTTTTTGTTCAGTTTGTAGAAGAGTCTTCTGCTCTCAAAGCCTTGGCTCAAAATCCTCCTGATTATATTATGAGCAAGAAACTTGGTATGTATGCTACTTTTATTTAGTTTAAAAATAAATTTGTATGCATTGCAGTTTGTTAAGCCAGTTTTATGACAATTATTTCTAATTTTTATTCAGATGTGAAACCAGTAAGACCTTTCTTTTATAGAAATGGAGAATTAGTAAAAAATGAAAGAGCGGCAAATTTTGATGCTAATGAAAAAAGGTATATAATATTTAATTTATTAAATTTGACCATATTATATAGTTTATGGAAACGATTTGATTTAATGTACTGTTTTCAAAATTTAAAATCACATTTGTAAGTTGCTTACTGTATATAAGTTTCTAATACTTCAAAGCAATGGTTCTATCTATGCGGATCAATTATATTAAAAAAATAGTTTTTTGGCTATTCCAAAGGTTATGTTAAGTAAGAAATTTATTAGAAGACCTAACATAGCCTAACCTTTATTACTCTTGGCTCAGCACCTCCTTTCACCACCACCACCACCAGAAAATAAAATACTTCACATACAACATAGTACTTAAAAAGTGTATAAGTATAAATCTTCATAGTTCTACAAATTTCCAGTGACTTAATAAGTTTTACAATTTGCCAAGTAGTAATAGATCATTTAATGCTAAACTGGAATTGAATCTGTTTGTAGTTTTAAAAACAGTGCATTCAATCAAATTGATTATATTTTACCAATTATAAAAGTGAATTAGAACTTGAATATTATTTAAATCTTTTCCTCCTAGATTTATTAAAGATTTTATTGTTTAACATAATGATTTCAGAAATGACAACCGAAATCAACCAAGAGATTAGTAAGTGAAGCATTAATTTGTTATTTTTGTAATAGGGTAATTATACACAATATTTTATAGCACGTGTTACGAATATATTTACTGTAAATGCATATTTATTTTGGGCATAACCAAATCTTGATTACTAAATAATAAGAATGAAAAATGTATTTATAACTAAGAACTTAATCAGTGAGTGACATAATTTTGTTTAGTCCACGTATATTACCTCCTCAATAATGAATTTTGGTATTAGAATTCATAATTATTAAAGAAAAAATTAATCAAGTGTTACTATTAAGTTAAAATGCAACCTGTACATATTAGGAACCACTTTATTTAGAGTCATAGACAATTCAATTTGGGGGATGATATTTTATTACATATATATTCCAACTCCCATAAATATGCCAATGAACACTAAAGTATTATGCTTTATAATTATGCATTTATTAAGCATAATTTGTAAAAACTTTGATATTCTTGCAATTTTTAACTAATTGAAGTTTAATAATATTATTTTATGAATTTTAGTGATGATTTTAAACCGGCCAGACTCAATCCTAATGTGATGAATCCAAATGCTCCTAATGATTGTGAAATTGTTGTCACTAATAATTCTTTAACGTAAGTTTTAAAACAGTCACTTTTTATTATACAGTGATTCTGCTTAATGTGGACAAATGAGTTTGGTCCCAATGTGTCCACGTTAAATTGAATCCACAGTGTATGTAAGTAAAATAAATAATAGTTGTATAATTATTTTATTTATTTTTATATTATAGAGAATATGCAGAGTTTTTAGAAGTGAACTTAAAAAAAATGAATATGAAAGTTGATTTGTTATTTCCTAATCCTGATATACCAATCAATCGTGTTCTTGGTACCTTAGCGCAAAGAGGGACATTGTATGTTTTAGTTGTACGTGATGAAAATAAATTGTATAGGAGCGTTACTGTTGATATACTTCATGGTATACCTGAAGGTAATATATTATGTTATTTCTAGACTGTACATCATAGGCGTATGCAGACTTTTTTCGCAGGGTATGCCGGTATTTTTAAACATACCTAGCTCAATACAAAAAATAACTTTCCAAAAACTCGTAATATAGGTACTAATGACTTGCTATATAATGCGAAAAGAAATTAACACACATTTTATTTAGCTTATTTATTGGTTTTAGATATTTTAATTTGAAAAGCTTGTACTGTGATTTCATTCCAATAAAGTAACAGCAGTTTAAAAACCTACAGACAATTTATTATATTATAATAATATACAATAATGACAAAAAATGATAATCTAATTAATCAAAATTCTTTTATTTTGATAGTTGTTGGTAGTATGAAAATAACCAATACCGCAGGGGCCTGAATGTTCTGGTGACAAAACCCGCAATTCTCACGAAAATGGTGAATTTTGATTTCCACCATATTATTATGAGTTAGCCATCTATTTTATTATTTGTAGGTACTTGTGGTGATTATGAAAATATAATTATGAAATCTAATTAATATTTGATTTCGTCTCAACCCCCAATATTTTATTGTAAGAAAATAATATAAAAAAATAATCAAAATATTTAAATTTACTATGAACTATCTTAGTTTATGACTCTAATTTATAATCAAAACATTTACAACTAAAAACTGATACCATGGCATACCCGGAATCCCCCCTGCGCACGCCTATACTGTACATAAATAGTATTATATATATGCTTATATAGGGTGATTCTGTTAATGCCAAACATCTATCATGCCGGTCAGTTTTAATCTTAAAATTTTTTTTTATATAATTTAATGAGTAGAGTATTTTTAACTTTTTATTGTGACAACTCATGTTATCATTCATGTTTCTGAAGCAGACTGAAGTTTATACTTATTACTTGTCATACTTCAACTTGCAAGGTAACAATACTTTGGGCATGCTTAAAATACAAAAAATCAGGAACTTCAGAAGGCTCTATTTAATAAACTAAAAATTTCAGTTGATTTTCTTTTTCGCACTGTCATTTTGAACGTCCCAACTTAACATTCCAACTCTTTAAGAGGACGCTACACAGATATTTGTTGTTTTCCTCTTACAAATGCATAACATAACAAATGTACCCAGCAAATCATGCTTAATTCAGTAAGTTTAAAAGTTAAAGTGAATCGACCTATTACGAAACTGATGGTAAGAACATTATCTGTGTTTGTAAGTGGGTTTTTTTTAAGATAAATCAGTTCTTATGTGAGTTATAATTATTTTTAATTTAAGGTATATTATATATGCATAACTCACTAACAAATTGAACTATTGTAAAAAACCTATATACAAAAACAGATAATGTACTTACCATCAAGTTTAATAATAGGTCGACTCACAATTTTTAAACTAACGGAGCTAAACATGTTACTCACTTGTAAGACAAAGACAATAAATGGCTGTGTAGCTGTCTCTCAATGTAGGATCTCTATCAATCTCTAACCTCTAAGAAAAAATCCTAGTAAAAAAGTTGCCCAGTAAAGTAGTACTGTTCCTCAAAAAAATTTTTTAATAGTTGTAGACCAACTTAAAATTTAAAAACTTAAAAAAGGTTGTATACACTTATACTTACTTATTTTTGTGTTTTTGTAAGACAATATTTTTACAATGTATATTGATGTATTATTTTTATTTTTCCAGAGCACAGAAACATGCCTTATAAAGATGCATTGGCATTTATTGTTCAGAGTTTTGATGCATATGTTAGAGGAGAGAAAATGACTCCTATACCTGGACTTTCAGGCATTCCTATATCTGAATGTGGCTTGCCTTTAGGTGATAAACATCCGGAAGGAATTAGCACATTGTTGAATTTATTACAGGATCAAAGAGATATAACAGTACTACAGTATGATATGGTAAAAATTATATTTTAATAGTGTAGCTTTTTAATTGATTTATTCATCAAAATTGAGTAATATTTTGTTTATTAAATTTTAAATCTAAGAATAAAAATTTTTTTCAATTTTTATAATCAGTAAATAAAAAATTGTTATTTTTATATTTATTAAAAATAAATAATGTGTATTTCTAATTTTTTTTTAAAAGATACTACAATATTTAAAAGAGAAAAAAGATAAACATATCCAAGAGGAAGTTGGAGTCTTGCCAACTTTTAAACCAAGTAAATATATTAATTTTTTTCATGTTAAATTATCATTAATATTAAGGGACCTCACTACCACGTCTTTTTTTTGTCAAAAACTACTGTTTCTAATTCCAACGATACGTGTCAAAAATTATCACAATTTTCATTCTGAAAAAATATTCGGATTGTCCATAATATATACAACAATCTAGCAACTTTTTTAATTTTTGTAATTAAAATTGCAATAAAATTTGTAAAAAATTCATAATTTCCAACTTAAATATTTAATTAACTAAGTACAATTTTAAAAATGTGCACGATCATAATCGTACATGTTGTGGTAAAAAAGAATATTTTGTCAGAATACAAATCGAGGTAATCGTTGTGACGTATTGTTGGAATTAGATGAGTGAAAAATAAACATTTTTTCATGATCCCAATTTTACATATTGCAATAGCGGTCAAATAATTTTGTCATGGTGGGCGATATGCCTGATTTTTTAACATATTATGCATTAATTTATCATTAAAAATATAATTTAATGTTATGTCTAATATCAATTTATAAAAATATGGTAAATATAAACTTAATTTATAACTTAGGTATAAGACTGAATCGTGGACATTTCAAAAGACATTTTCCCATTCAATATATTTTTGATCCGGACATTCCCCCCCATTTTTTTTTTTAATGTTACTATTTAATACTAATATTTTATTATATTTAATATGAAATTATTATTTTGCCTATAATTAACTAATATTTTCAAATATTTTCATAAATATAATAAATTAATAATTATAGATGTATATTTTTGATCAACTGAACTACTTGAATCAAATTCAAAAGCAATTATTTAATTGCCAAACATCCAAACTGGTAGTCTTAACAAAAAAAAAAAAAAAAAAATATAAACTAAGGCTAAAAAATATTTTTAGAAGTAACAAAAGAATTAGTAATCAAATGTTTTTTACAAAATGTATCATTTTTATGCCAGAATTTTTAGCTATTTTTACTTATTATTAATTAAATTTTACTTTATGTATTTTTTTTTTTTTTAATTTTTATGTTTTAAGTAGTTTATTTAAATAATTTCATATTAAATAATAAATAATATTGTATTATTCAACTCAATATTATTAGTAAATAATAAACTTTTAAACAAATAATGGGGGGAACATTTCCGCATCAAAAATATATCAGAGGGAAAATGTCCATTTACCATACAGACTTTATAAATATATTATAGTACCTATTAACAATATTTTTATTATATTAGTAAATCTATTTAGTTGTTTTTTTTTTTTTTTTGCTAATTCGTCCAGTACTTCGTTGGATGTTATATTTATAACCCCAAGATGAACAGCCATAGTTAAAATATTACCGCTAAGTCCACAACTTGATTTTCTGTACCAATATTAGTGATCTTACTTATTTTATCATCCGCATATCATTCATATCATTAGTAATTTTCCTTTTATTAGACATAGTAATTGTGAAAATGTAAATTAGACAAAATTGTCAATATTACAAAAGACACCGACCTTAAAATAGTTATACACTTTAGTACACTACACAGTAGAAAACACAAGTATGAAAGTAATGACGAATCATGGTCAATACTAAGTATTATGAGTTATGACCAGGGCTAGGATTTATATGCAACAGTATGTTTTTTTGCGACTTCTGATTATTGATTTTGTCAGTAATGTCCACGAATCACCTCATTATGAAATAAATGGTGGTATTGTTATTTTGTATGTTTTTGTATATTTTGGATGAAATGCATATTATTGTGTATATTTCGATTATTAAAATGCAAAAAATGCATGTTATATAGTATATTTTATAAAACTTGGTTTTTTGTCAAACATAAATTTTATTTTTATTAATATAATCCTATGGTACAATAGGTACCTAAGCGATAAAAGATTGAATAGTTTGACATTCATTTTCGGAAATAATATGTAACATGTAACAGGCATAGTGAATATGAATTATAAATTTTATTTCTAAAATATTTTTTTTTTTTCTCAATTATATTAAGACAAACAGCCAATCACTGATGTATTTCAACAAATAAATATTTTTTTTGTAACTTTATTCTTGTGTTTATCTTATAAACATTTAAATGCATATTTTTGCATATCTTGGTAAATAAAATGCATATTGGCGACGACGAGATTAAAAATTGCCTAAATAATTCTCCTTCAATCAATGTCATAGCAAGAGCCCCTTAATAATGAATTAGAATTATGTGCATTTATTTCTTTATGATTAATATATTTGACTTGACCCTTTGTGATAATTAAAAATATATTATAAACTAGCTGATCCTGTGCACTTCGTTGCCAGTTAAATGTATCAAACTTTGTTCAATTCGTTATTTAATTTGTAGTGTATGGTGTTCAAAATTTATCTTAACTTTTCCGTTGCCCCGAATAAAAATTCTGATTCGTAGCAGTACATTATCAGGTAGGCAATCTACCTGCAGTAGATCGCGGACCCCGTGCTCTTTGTACGTTAGCGTATGATTTATCTCTAAAGTATCAAAATTATACCAAGTTTGTCGTTTTTACTTAATTCCACCTACGGGGAGATTTTTATATATAAGAATAATAAGAAAATGTTTTGTTTGTTACTCTTTCACGTAAAAACTACTGAATGGATTTTAATGAAACTTAAAATAATATAGCTTATACATCAGAATAACACAATTTATTATTTATTATAATAGTTTTAAAACCCATGGCAATCATTTATAAACAAAAAATTTCACCGTAAATCTCTAAATCCCCGTTTGAGGACCTAGGGGAATGATTTGTAGTCTGTGTGTTATTCTGATGTATAAACTATATTATTGTAAAGTTTCATTAAAATCCATTCAGTAGTTTTTACGTGAAAGAGTAACAAAGAAACAAACTTTTAAACAAACGTTTATAATATTAGTAGGATAATTATTGGTTGCCGTGAAATCAGTGTATTCATTCAATGCATTTAATTTTTTTATACTCTGTGTTTTGATTCTATTTGTATCACAATAAATTACGTAAATATTGAGAGTATTATACTCACATATAAGTTACGTACATAAAACAATCACGATGCCACGTATTCATGGACAAGGAGGAAACATTGGTCGACTGACTCGGCATTCACAATTAGTCCAACCGTTTAGGAGGAGTTCAGTAACATACTTGGTATAACTTTGATACTTTAGAGTTAAATTATTAAGTTACTTACAAACAGCACGGGGTCCGCGATCTACCGCAGGTAGATTGCCTACTTGATAATGTACTGCTTCGAATCAGAATTTTTATTCCAGGCCACAGAAAAGTTAAGATACATTTTGAACACCATACACCGAATATTAAATAACGAATTGAACAAAGTTTGAGTCATATAGAGTTGGTACATTTAACGGGAAACGAAGTGCACGGGATCAGCTAGTGTAGTTATAATTGTAACTTTTCAATAATAAATAATTAATTATTCATTTTAGCTATAGCTGATATACCAATTCTACCAGCAGCAACTGCCATTCAAAATCCGCAAGCAGCTCAATTACAAAATCGTATTTTGAACATTTTGAATACATCCCTTTCTACTAATGCTCAGCCTCAACAATCCATTGAATCTAATCAAACTGAAAAAGAGCCATCAAGTATTCTTCAAGAGCCTAATGTAAAAAAAGCATTAGAAAGTTTATTCCAGGGCGGTTCGTTACTTAGAAAATAAATTTTAATGTGCATGTACAAATTTTTCTTGTAAATAAATAATTTAAATTTATTGTCACGTTTGAAACCCCTATCATGGGTAGACAAATTTTGTTTATAGCCTTTCTGTTTATATAAGTTTGTTTAATTATTTTAACAATTAAATTTAAATGAATGTTTATATTAGCATTTTCTATACACCAAGGTGGATATCCACCTAGTATACACCATACAATTAATACTTTCAAAATAAATTAATATCCTAATATATTGTTACCATGGCAGTTGAAAATTATTAAAAATACATAGTCACAATTTTTTTAACATATTTTTGGCCGAGTACACATACTTTTACTTTTCAGTTTTCACCAATTTTTTGTAAGATTTTCGTCATCATGGTTACTATTATTCATAAAAACACCTATATATCTATGATTCACAAATTTTCCTTGATGTGGACAATATTAAGTGGTTTAAAACGTAAACGTAATCCTAACCATAACTCATAAGTCATAACCGTCTGTCAGCAAATTTTTTATCAGCATTTAAATTGTGAATTTTGAAAAAATACGTAAACATCGCGAAAATTATTTTGAGTTAGAAATTCATAATAGTTTTAGATTTTGAGCTGAGCGATGAATGTATTGATTTTACAATGATGTGTGTTTAATTTTTTTACTTTTTTATTTTTGTGTTGTCTGTAACCGCCGTTTGGGGGGGGGGGCAGTAAAACTCCCAATAGTTTTCATAAGCGCCAGGAAAAACAACATAAAAATTAAGAAAAAACGGGAATTTTTACACAAAATTGATTTTGGTATTTGACATGGGTAAGTCGGTAACTCTCAAACAATCGGCCGATACATGACATTTTCACTGGTTGCTTATATTAGCATTTTCTACATACGATAACATTTGAAAAATATTTTGAGTTGTTTTGAACTGTTTACGGACATTTTCAGTTTCGAATTTTTTTAGATTTTTTTTTTATTAATGTCAATACAATTTTATTTGTTGGGTAAAAAAGCTTGAATATTGAATACAAGGCTCTTCATATATTATTACAATGACATTTGAAAAATATTAAAAATCCAGTCACAGTTTTTTTCTATAAGCACTTAAGATCGAATTTTGACTAAAGGCTTAAAAATCAATAAAATATATTATTATTTATTTATAATTTAGGTATTTAAATAGGTATATACATTACAAATATAAATCATAAATGTATATAATAGATCGTTGTGATATAATAATATATAGTTTTGGTTTAGACGGTTTAGTGTAAATATATTAATATAATATAGGGGGGGACATATGGAAAAGTGAGGACACTAATGTCTGAAGACCTGTAATTCACTTAAAAATCAATTTTTTCCTTTCAAATTTTGTTCACACCATCTATAGGTTATATGGTAATTGATAACAAATTTTTTATGAAATTTTTTTTTTTTTTTATGGAAGTTTAAAAGGGATGTAACAAAAGTACGAAAAAATTCCATATATTCTAATTCATTTTATAAACACAATAAATTGTTTATAAAAAACGTTTATGTATAGGTTAACTTAAGAAATAAATTATAAATTTTAACTTTTAAATGTTATAAAACATAAAGATAAATTTTAGGAACAAAATTTAAATTTAAACATGGTTTTCTAATCTTTTTCTTCAAACTCAGCACAAACACAATTAAGCCATTTTTTACATAATAGACACTGAATCTACCCATCAACTGAAGTTCTTCCTTTATTTTAAGAATATTTGGGTTGTTCACACATTGCCCCAGATAGGTATAAATCACTTAGCCCCAAAATTAGCTAGAGCCATTGATTTTATTTTATTTAAATACCTAAACATAAATATAGAACTTTCATCATAGAACAAACAACATAGACTATTTAATAAAAAAAAAAATTGAATATATAAATAACAAATGATGCAATTCTATTATCAAGTAAATTATAATAGGTATATGTCCAGTTTTTCGTTGATTAATTGCAAAATAATCAATAGTTTGATTCAAAACTTTTACCACACAATCTCAGACAACCAAGGAAACCATAAATCGAATAATATTATACATTTTTTACATTAAATAAATAGATAATACAATGTCACCACTTTGCCCCGGTACCCCACTTTGCCCCATGTTCCCCTACATATAGTCATTAGAATTTAGTCATATATGTATAAGCAGTGGCATAATTTGGTTAAGTTGGGGGAGGGAGAGGGAGATTGAAACATATACCCCAACACCAAAAAAAAAATTATTTGGTTTATATCTATCATAAAACCTGTCAGTTCAACCATATTGTGATCTGTATAATGAAAGAAGCCCGAAGAAGGGTACATGTATAATAATGCATGCATAAGTACATGAAAATAAATAGGTAATTACATTTATATACACTATATTTTAGTATTTAATAAAGTTTTAAATGTACTTCTTCTAGTAGATTCGTATAATAATATGTGTAGACGTAAAATACTCAAAATCGCAATCTTCAAACGTTTATAATCTTGGAACTAAATCCGACCAACAAATTCTGATTGCATCATTTCAGAGGCGTAATTTTTTTTGGGGGGGGGGGGTGCAAGGTGTACATTTGCACCAAATTTTTTAAAACCCCTTTGGCCTGCCAATAATAAATATAAGCGCCGATAGTACCTAAGTGTTTTATATTATATAATATATATATATTTTATATTTTTTCAGTATTAAAAAAAAATGTATTGCACTAATGTTTAATTTCCAAGAATGTTTAATGTGGTTTTGTGGTCCCACAATAAATAATTACTACAATTATAACACAAACATTGTGGAGAAGGGTACCCATAAAATGAATTTCTGGTTTTATTAAGCTAGCTATATTATATATTTTGAGTATGCAGGCCGCAGGGTGAAAAAATGTATAGGTTAGGTATAAAGTGTTTTATACCAATACATTTATTTACCACTGTCCACTGTACACTGGTATCCACAATATAAAATAAATACCTACATTAAAAGTACCTACACATAGTTCGTCAAAAATAGTAACAATATTGTGATATTTTCATACTAATATATTATATAAGTGACATATTAAATAAATTATACAAATATTCTACAGTTTTTGTCCTACTTGACCCCCCTTCCCCCCAAAAAAAATAAAAAAATATGTGGCCTGGTAATGATTTGAATGGCCCCGCAAATATTTGGCACCAACAAAAAAAAAGTTGAAATGACGCCCCTGCACCATTGAACTTAACTCGTTGAAATATATAGATTTTCAAAAATCGTTTGGGAGCTAAACTGAATTTTCTATGTATGTAGATTCGTGGAATAATCTGCGTATGCGTAATATACGTTAAAATGCCATATGCCGAACATCAAAATTGTATAGCCTTGGAACTCTGACCGACAAATTCTGATTGTACCATTGTGCTTTGAAATATAGGTAGGTATTTATTATACTTATAGGTTTCCGAAAAAAATTCTCAAAAATCGAGCTTTACTGCATTATTTCAATATATTTGTGCAATATTCAATTTGCAATAAAGATTAGGTAGTAACTAGTAACGTAGTGTTTATTACGAACTACGAAGTAATATTATCTTAGTTTCAGCTACGATAGGGGATTTGAGTTTTTATTTGTTGTTTCTATAAAATATACTGTATTAGTAACAATAAATAATAAGTTCATAAATTTGGTTCGCTAGTAAAAGAAAAAGTCATGGGGGGATACGACACCCAAATCCCCCCCTCCCCGTAATTACGCCACTGTAGGTACCTAAGTGAGACAGTAAGTATAATTTATACACCTATGTTAGTATGCTGCATTATTTTGTAATTGTTACGACGTATATTCAATAATAATCTGTATTATACACACAATAGACATAATATATGTAGTTGCTTTGTCTCCCAGTAGAAATGTAGAATATTTTAATTATATTAATTATAATATTTTATATTATATGGTTGACGGTTGTATTGTATAACTTTTAAAAATATTTTTAATTGCCCATTTATTTGTTTACGTAGATAATTATTATAAATTATAATGATGTAATAGACTGACAGAACTGCAGTTGATTCAAATGTTGTTTAAATATAATTCGATTGCCACATTTTTAATAAAATAACTGTAATAATGTTTATTATTTTTATTTTTAAATGTTATATTTCGTAAACAACAAAACAAATGTTTTGCGTTTTTCCATTATATAACTGTAAATATAGTATCTATCTACTGTTATATAGGTATTATACAAATCAAAAATCAGCAGAAAAGTAGTGTTCACTGTTCTGTGTTTAGTAATCACTAATCAGTAATACTGCAGGATCATATTATTATAAATCATAATTACCTACTAGGTACTAATTAGCGAAATAAGCAATGTAGCGCACTCTGCGCACTCACGTCTCTCACTGATGAAAGATAGCTTTCTCATAGATTATTTAACACCAGTGTTATTTAATACATTATATTATTATGCAGAATGTTAATATTGTATTCTATATTTATAAATAACATAATTAATCATAATATTTTATTAACTTATGTGGAAAGCATGATTTAAGATAATATACAATTTACGTAGTAGCCATCTATAGGTACTATCATGGTACTAATCACTGGTACTAGGTACCTATGTCCTATATTATTTTAATTTTTAAATCGAGATTGGTAAGTACCTAATAAAAAAATGTACTCCGTGTTTTGTATTGTGTAGTTATCAGAACATTTTACGAACCACTGGGATTTATGTTGTTTATATTTTTGTTATTAAGTACATTGCGCATGTGCGAAATAACGTTTTGTTATTATTTTGATACTGCGCCGTTGTCAGTTCTCTCGACTCTCGAGTTTCTTGTCACTCTTTTCTTTTTTCATTTCAGTCTTTGTTCTCATTCCGTACGGTGTTGGTGTATGTACCTGCGGTTCATTCTCAGTTGTTTTTCCTCTAAACGACTAAATAACTTTATTCCTAAATCCTATCATACAATACAAATAATATAATAGGTAGTATTACATAATTCTACACACACTCGCCTGAAAAAATATTATACATTTGTCCATTACACAGTATTATTATAATGCCATTTATATCGAAGGATTGGCGATCTCCAGGGGAAGTATGGGTGAAAACGGAAGAAGGATGGGAAAAAAAGAAAATTCTGGAATGCTGCAATTTTTTACTAGGACAACAAGATAATTTATTGACCAGGTAAAAATGGTAGTATATTCACAAAAGCTTAAATGTATAGGTAGGAGTAGGTACAAGTGATTGTATAAGTAGGTAGCTATAGTTAATTTTTTACAAACAATTATGCGGTAAATGGTAATTATAATATCGGCATTAAATTATAGTCTAAACCTTAAAGTTTAGCATTAACCTTAAAGTTTACCTCTAAGCTATATCTTCTTTTTTTCGTTTTGGAACCAACGACGCCGCTGAACCAATTTTTGCATTACTTTCCTGATTTTGTAAGAAATTAAAATTCACAGAATTTCCCTATACAGCTTTAAAGCTTTATTGTATCACCACTTAGGTGCATACTACATTGTTTTAATCAGACTGCCACTTAATATATTTTTAAATTATGAATATATAAAATTGTCTATCTACCTGTTATTAATTAGTTGTGTAATGTTCTTTTAATTCGACATAAAGTGTTTACTATAGGTATACTATGTTTCAGATATTCTGTTTCCGACCATTCTGATGAAGAGAAGGCTGATGATATAGATAACTGGTAAGAAAATTTATTTTACCTGCCTAGTAGTTAGTACCTACAGTAAAAATGTACATTCTATATCCCGAATATTTAATAGGAGGGTATTTATTATTATCTATACGAATTACGAATTGTGTCCCCCCTTCAGATTATTATTCAAATGTGTGCTTATCTCAAAATGATTACTTAAATGATTTGAATAAAAATAACATAATATTATTACAATCATTTTTTATGCAATGGAGGTAAATACAAATAAAAATAAAGACCGTTTTTTTCAATCTGTATTTCAAACAATAAGTAAATATAAGTATTAATATTATATATAATAATAATATTCGATAAATTAATATTAATATTAAAAAAAAATAATCGATCTTATAAAATTATAAGCTGACCTTATCAGTTTTTATCCTATGCTCAAAAGTCTAAAATGATCGATCACTGGTTGCCTAACAAAATTCATATTAAGATAATTTTCGTAATTTGAGCTAGAACTTTTTCTTACTAAGGCCAGAAAGTAGAAATATATTACAACAACTAGATACACCCCTAGCCCCCTTATAATTACGCCGCATTGTGGTGATGTATAATACATATATAAACAAATTGGTCGTATTCCTTAAGTACGCCATTTTGGGAAGGCAGTGTGCAATTTTAATCCATATTGACCTAGGTGTTAATAGGGCTTTGGCATTAAGGGTTAAATATTAAATTGTTATTGTACAAATTATCAATTGTGTATTATGTATCAGACATCAGTATAGAATATATTATATTTCCTGACTTTTTAACCCAGATTTCCACCTAGTCTGACCAATTTTTTTTCATTGTGATGACAATATTCATATTTTACAGATATTAGACATAGTGTGCATGTATATTCCAGTTTCACTTTTATATTATAATATAAAGGTATAAACGGGGATAAATATGTATGTACAATATTGCTATGTTTAATTTAGATGATAACATTTTTTAATACAATTTTGGAATTTGTATTTAACAATAATAAACCTTATGGGGGTGGGGGGGGGCCTCATAGAATGTTTGCAGCCACTTAAAATAAACTGAAGTCTGAAATGGTGCACCTGCAGGTATACCTATTTAACTTGTGCACAGTATTTTACGTGCACTGTAGTATAATTTTATTCAACAAAAATTAAAGATAAATGCGAATTTCGACGCAACCCCAGTTTTTGAAAAAAATTATTTTTTGGTGTACCTATATACCTGCTTCGAAAAAACATAATATCTTAAATTTTCATTAAATTTTTATATTACCTACGATTTTCTATATATATATGGTACACTTCTTAAAATATTTTGAGAAATTTATAGACCTTTTAAATTATATTTTTTGGTTTCTAAGTATACTGATAGAAAACCTTATACCAGTTATACCTATCCCTATGACCCCGTTATGTCCGTGCATCCGTCTGTTCATTCGTTATTTATCAGTACAAAATAATACCTAAATAATATAGTTAGGTATGACTTATGACTCTTGATGATATTAATTTATTGTCATTTGTCCGTATATATAGTTACTTCATATAGAATTATGATTGTTGGTGTATCATCAGGGGTGGATAGGTAATATTTATGTTACTGGGAAATATTTGAAGGGACTTCCAAACTGAAAAAAAAAATTGGTCGCTTCGCTCGCACCAGATATTCAATCTAACGCCTTTACTTATAAATAAAATGTTTCGTGCGAAAACGTATTTTTAGTTTGGTGGGGGGCTGGGGAAACGGCATATGAGGAAAATGCTTTTTTCGGTTGAAAGGGATTTTTGAAAAATGTTGCGTAAAGTCGTAAAATACTAATTGGCCAAAAAAATTGCAAAACACAATAAAAATTTAAAATACTATGTTAAAGATCCGTAAGCAAATTCTTTACTTGTCGTGGTATTATTATATTGTTGAAAATAACGCAGTAAATATAATAATTTATATAAAAAAATGAGTAGTTTTAAATTTAAATTATTCCTATTTGGTAAATATTTTATTCTGCAAAAAAACAATATGTACCTATATACCCGAGTGGGTCCCCCCAACATAAACATAGACCCCGGCCCACGGGGAAAATCACTTTCTCTATGGGCCTATCCATCCCTGTATAACATAGGTACTAACAATTGTATGTTTAGAAACCGGGAATTTATAGTACGCACGATCTTTTCTTCTATAGATGTCGACAAGAATTTTTTGGACTCGTCAATAATTTGATATGTTATTAAGAGCTATTAAAAAATATTAAAGATTCACTAATGGGTGGTTACTTTAAATATACCTTTCATGTTATAAATTACTATTATCATATAAACTTATTGTGCTTATTTGTATAGATTATATTTGTCAAAAAAAAAAACGAGATACATAAGCTCATTTTTTTTATATGTTTCTTGTTTTATTATTCAAATGTTGACAAAATTCGTTAAGATCATCAAAATGTGCAAATTGATTTTTAGTTAAAAATCTCTGAAATGTTCTATTTTTTATCAAAGGCTAGAAAATGTATTACAAGGTTTTCATATTAAAATCAAAAAATATAAAATATATACAAGCACGATTTTTTTTATAGACATTTGAAGTTCAAGTTTGGATGACATTAGATATGTAGGTACTAAGAGCATAATAGTTATTTTATTTTGAATCTTAAATCTTAATTTAAATATACATATATTATTCTTGGGAACTTGAAATGTAAACGTATATATTATTATATTTTATACACACAAGGCATAATGCAATGTTTTTGCAAAAATTAATTCAACCTAGGGACTAGGGTACCGTATTATTAACAGCAAAGAAAAGACTTTAATAGTAATATAATAATACCATCAGTCTTCCCTCAGAATCGTCAGTCGTGTGCAATGATATAGGTTTATCATTGAATTCAAATTTAACATAGATAGGAGACATTACAATTATACGTGATTTATCAACGACGTACGTGTTGGTACGTGTTGGTACTCATCACCATTCAACCTACTATAAAGCAGAGCGGTCACCTACTTTCCTCTTTTTATTTACAATTATTAAATTAACTAAAATAGATTTTATTCAAAACGGGTTCTTCGTTAATTTAAAATTTTAATAGTTAAAGGTTATTATTTTGAAAACTACTAGTTTATTCTAAATGTTTACTTCTTCCAAGTATAGTGTCAATTCTTGGCAATTTCCTTAAAATGACATCCATAATACAAAATGACCCAATTTATTGTAAACCCTTCTTCCACATGGAATCTGAAATATTGAATCTATAAAAGATCATGCTTTACGAGTTAAATAACAAATGGAAATATACTTAGTTACGTTTTAATAAATATATGCTTGGTATAGGTATTACTGTACATAATTTTTCTAATAGCAAAATATTCTACTTTCTCGTCGGTTTTTAAATAGCTAAATTGATAACCATCATATTGTGAATATAATATTCGAAAGTGATAAGTATGATCTTTGTAATAAGTTATAAATATAAATTATTCTAACACCATTGAAAATATTGATCTAATTAAACATCATGATCACGATAATCATAATTATGTAGGTACATATAGTAGGACACTACGAAGCAACTTTGTTGAAAATCCATTTTTGAAATGTTCACAGATCGGCGCGATGGCGTACCTATATTGTATTACTTATTAGGCGTTGTCTTTTTTATATTTAACTAAAAATTAAATTTTTGATTTTAAAACGATTTTGACTTACCCAAAAATTGCTAAGATATTGATAAAACCTGAGTTACTTAGGTATAATTTTTTATTAGTTTTATTATCACTAACATTAAAAAAAAAAAATTAGGAAAATATAATACATACAATCAATTCGAAAAATTACATAGACCTGCACGGGTTGAGAATCACTATTATAGCTTGTATACAAATTATATATATTATATAGGTACAGGGTGGCGTTTACCTAGCATGCTCACACATTTAACACAATATTTGATATTTTTTATACCATTTAAAGAACAAGAAATCTACTATAGCGGTACAAACTTCTCTTTTTCAAATGAGAAAAAATATTTTTGCCTACCTATAAGCGCGAGGCGTATGTCGTTAACATAAATTTATTTGAAAATTGAGATGTATCTTAAACGAAATTCAATCGTGTAGTTACTGAGTTATTTAAAAATATAAGAATAATAGTCAATAAAAAAAAATTAAAATTATAAAATTCATGTAATATTAACTATTTTATTGTAATTATTTTATTATACTCGGACAATGGTGCCGAACATGTTTGATGAATCACCATATCACCCATCTGTCGTAGGCATATAGTCAAATGTAGCTAGTTTTAACTTATTTCTATTGTTATTGGTATACTGTGTTCTTAAATTTTAGATTCTGAGCGGAGCGAGGAAGCTAGTGGTTTTACAATGGTGTTTATTTTTTTTATTTATTATTTTATTTTTATTTTTATATCCTGTATACAAAATGTCTACCAGCAGGAGTTCTTTGATTTCAATATATAGTACCTTATCTTTTAGCAAATTGGATCAAAATGGTACTTTAGAGAGGTAATTTTGCGATTTTCTCGGTAAAAACCACCGAAAAATTACGAAAAACCGCTAAAAATTGGATTTAAATTTCTAACGCTTTGTTTATTACCATAGAAACGAATAAAAAATAATAATATTATAATATTAATTCAACTTACATGATATAATAACTAATAACAATATAATTATTTAGACTGACAAACCGTCTCCGCTCAGAATCGTTTTTCTTATACAATGATATTATATCATTGAATTCAAGTTTAATACAATCCATTATACAATGACCCACTTGTAACCTACTATACAGAAGAGCGACATCCACTTTTTTTATATGCAATATAATATAATTAATAAATATGAATTTGAGTATTCAAAATGGATAAAATTAATACATTAAATTCAAATCTTTTAACTGTAGACATGGGTTGTGGGTAGGTACCTAATGTTAGTACCTATAGTGTTAGTACCTAACCTTATGTTACTTCTAAGTACTAACTGTAGTGAGTCGTGAGTGTCTATAAATACTCTTATATAGTATGGCCGTATGGGGTATAGTAATCTACTGTGTTTAAACGTTGGATAAGTATGAAACTATACACTATAAAGTACTTAACTATTGACTAAGTGTTCGATTCCCTTTTGGCCTTTTCGACCAAAATCGTACCCTACCCTTTTCAGATGATGATTCACTTTTCGATCAAAATGAAAAGTTTTTAATATTAATTAATATTATATACTTTAGGTCTTTACGTTAAACTTACAGAAAATTATTAAATATATATTACCCCTAAGTTGTATGAAAAATATATAAATAAATAATAATAATATAAAATTGTTGTCAATAATTAATATTGTGTTGTCATATAATGTTATTATTAATTAATTTAATAGTAATGTGTATATTATATTACCATTAAGTTTAATAATAATTATTGACAACAATTTGTTATTACCTACCTATTACAATTGTTATTATTTATTTATATATATTTTTATACAATTTAGGTACCTGTAATAAATAATAAATAATTATAATTGTCTATAAGTATAACACAAAGATCTGAAGTGTATATTGGTAGGTAGGTAATATTAATTATTATTGAACTTTTTGTTTTGGCCGGAAAGGGAAAGGTACGTTTTTGGTCGATAACGGTGATGCCTATCCTAAGTTCCTACCCGGTGTTTCTTCATAGGGAAATTTGTGTAAAATGTTGAAACAATTATCAGTTTTCGGTAAAACTTTGACTGTTTTTGGGTAAACCAATCTTCTATACTCAGCTGTTCTTAATATTTTTTTTTATGTTATGATTTATTATTGCTCTCAAAATTCAAATAATAATGGTTTGTGTAATTGTCTATGGAGTGATTGAAGTGAGACGAATCCAGTGCAGTAGTGCGTAACACCCAATCTCTACCAAACAACTTTTTTTGTTAGGTAAATGAAATTGAGTGATTGACCTATTATCAAACTTGAAGTTAAAAACATAATCTGTTTGTATTTGTACCTTAGTTTTTTTATGATATTTAAATTTTTCTTCAATATATAAATGTTTTTAAATTGTATAAATACTTTACTATCTCGCTTAAAAATTGAAATGTAAAAAACCAACACATAAACGCATATAATTTTCTTAACTTAAAGTTTGTTACCCTATTCAGTATTCACTGTGGTATTATAGATATAACAATACTGCAATATTAATTTTGATGAACGCAATTTTTTACATAATATTGTATTGAGGGAGACAAGTCAGTACTGATGACATCCGTTTAAGACATTTCAATATCAATAGTCATGCATAAAGCATAAACAATCACTAAATATTTAATGAATCAGAAGTGAGCTAATGATCCCTTCAATTTGATTTAGTGGTTTGCTACAAAATAATATATAATATACTTAATATTTTGTTCTTATATAAATTCATGGTTTAAATATATAAGCCATGTATAAATCTATGCTAAGAATTAACATTTAAAATATGTTATGTACTCCTATAGTATATTATATTCTACAGTCTACACCATTTAGTGATCTCTTATATGCATTCATAAAAATAATGGAAACATTATAGTGAAAACGAGAATAGAAATAGGTAGGTAACCTATGTGTAACGAAAATGGATACATGTAACACAACCTTATTACCTGCCGTAGAATTATAAATTTAGTATACACGCAAGTCGTTATTACTTATTACACATATACGACGTACAATAATGTTACTATTTCTGTATTTCACATAAGTACTGAAACATATCATGAGAGATTGTTAGTGTTCCAATTATGTAACTGTTGGTTTGTAGGTAAAATAATAATAGTGTAAATTATTCATGTAATAGTTTTTTTAAATTATAAAATTATATTATATTTTATTTTATTTTATTTTAAATTACAATAATAATATGTTCAAATTTTATTTTCATAGTATAGAAATCGAAATATATGAACTAATAAAAAAGTACTAATTTATATTGTTCTATTTTTGATAATTTATTTAATAAATCAATGATAGTCCTTTTTTATATTAATATACAATTTATCAATTTTAAATATTTACTAACAGTCAACGATGACTATTACCTACCCTACCACAATACACCATTTTTCTTAAAATTATTTTACTAAAATAATTACTCTTAAAATAGTTTATTAATTGTATGTGAATTTACATTTAATCAATAATAAACTAAGGAAATACACTAATACCATAATCAATGCTAATACTATAGAATGAAATACAAACGTATATCAAACATTCAAATTATGTTCAAAGTGTTTGCAAATGCGTAACTCACTAACTCAAAGCGTAATACCTAATTTGTATCCAAAAATAACTACTGTTACTTATAGTCTTTTAGCGGTTACACTTTTGATTTAAAGTATAATTGGCTAGAAGCCATTTGTTGAACTATGGCGTTTTTTAGACGTAATAAAAATATTTGGATGACCTCCAAAACTTAAAAACATGTCCAGCTAGTATGCAAAGATTTGTTTTTGTATAAAATTAAACTATATATTGTCAGAAGTTTTTGATTGTTGTTTATGTAATCTGATTTTAAATTTAGAACAAAAGATACAAATGTCCGCATTAACTAATATTTAATTTTAAAATGAAAATATTTATACCATGAATATTATATTAATATATTTGATCTATTATTCTGTGTTAGTACTTACTATGTTACTTAGGTACTTAGTCAATATTGTGAATACAGCGAATTACTGGGATATACATATATTATATTATTATATTTAATTATTATGACAGTAATTGCATTATTAGGTACCTACCTATAATTAGTAGCGTAGCTGGAGCTCAATTAAGGGGGGGGCTATTTAAATTCTATATAATTTTATTATCCATATAGAGTATAGACTATAACCGTTATTAAAACATCCCCAATAAAAAATTCCAATGGGGTCATCCACCCCTCACCGCAGCTACTCCACTAGGTATAATTTGTAAATGTTGTACATCTGTTGTGCCTATTTATTATTTTACAATAGACATTTTATTTTAATATGTATCACTCTCTGTCTTAATTTACCAACTATTACTATTTACTTAATTTCTTTTTTTTATAATAATTTATAGTTTCAAATACTTGTAGTAAAGAACGGTTTTATATTTAACCAATATGGATTGGCAATGCTTAGTACCATTGATTAAGTTTACCTAATCGATGCTAGTACTTACGCATTTGTCCTAAATAATAATAGCTTTTGTTCAGCTTTAATTTCTGGTAACATGTTGGCTGTGTTTTATTATAAGTATGTTTTGATATCACTATCATTATAAATTATAATGTCCGATAGAATATTATTATTAAAATAAATACAATTAATTGTTCTTAAAATTAAAATATTTTTTCTATATTTAAACAAAATTTCTCATCTGCAAGTTATAATAATGGGCTTTAAAATTTTGTATAGAATATATAATAATACCATTGTAGTTTGTACTATTACTAGTATTTATAATCAATGGTAATACTTAAGCTTCGGAATTCAAAACTTTACTTTAAGTACTCCTCCAGTTTTAAAACTTCCTATTTATGTAGCTGTAACGAAACAGCGAAGAGAAGTTTTATTTATACATAATTTTGTGACTGAGCGTTTTTAATGGTTCCAATTTATCTGAGAATAAATAAATAAATAAATAATTACCTAATAACCTCTTCATAATTTTCATTCATTTTACTTAAATCTATATTATATTGTATCTCTCGTAACATATTCTATACTGTATACTATTATTTAATGTTTCCACATAATTATTGTAATTGGGTTCACTCGTTTAATCATAATAAATAAATATGTAAATAAATTAAATTCTTGGACTAGACAAAAGGATATTATACTTAGGTAACTTTTGAATTATGATTATAGTAGGTTTATAATTAATTATATTATTTAAAGTCATAATTGATGGGTATTTATATAAGTTATTTAAACACTAGGCTTATTTATTTAATGCGATTAAAATAAATAATAATATTACCTATAATAAATGGAATATTCCACAATGGATTATTATATTGGTTCATCATTGTCGTAGTTTATTGCTGTCTATTCAACCGTATTATACAAGAGCACAAGGCTATTTTAATTGATTAATAAAATTTTTTATTACGTGGTAATACGTGCGTTTAAAAATACCCATATTTTTGTTGTTATATTTCAATATTTGTGTATATTTTTTTTAGGAATGAAGTTGAAAATTCCGAGGAAAAAGAAAACAAAGGCTCTACTAACCATTTTAAACGTCTCAGAACTAAATACTCAAGTGAAAGTCAGTGTAAGTGTATATTATATAGAAATATAATATAAATATAATTTACATAAATACATTAAAAATATATCTGATTATAATAAGTATATTTATAATATAATAATATGTTGTTTCTTGTTGTACTTACATAATTCTGTATACTTATTACTTCTAAGTTATTATAGTTTATTACTTAGTAATTACTTAATGTGGGTATTCACATTTCAATATTTCATATTTCAAATGTAGAATAAATTAATATTAAATAATTAAAAACCTAGATTCAAGCAATTTGACCTTAACCATGTGAGTTTATAAATCACAATGTAGAGACGTAGAGTACTAAACTACCAAAGATTGAAGTGACTCATTGGGTGAATGGCCTAATGGTGGTATTCATAGAATATATTTTTGTTTTCTTTTTCCAAAAACAATTTAAAATAATAAGATTAGATGTCTATACCGCCATAGTCCAATAATATGTTTAGCAAACCTAACTGCTTTTGTTAGATATTTATCATTTATGTGTAACTTTTTCAATAATTTCTTTTAGTATGACTAAAGTATATAAATGTAAATATAGGGTACTCTGTATTAGTATCTAGAGCTAGATGAGGAACCGCTTTACCACTACACAGACTCTCCTATCTAGCTCCCATTGTTTATTGAAATAAAACAATGTTTACGACAATAACATCGATGTGACAGACCTGACAGACTCTCCTCAGCTACTACGTACGTGTCTGTCAGGGGACCGGGCCCGGCCGCCCGGGCACTTACGATCAAGTTATCAAAATATAGGAATGTATAGATATCACTGTATGTCTGTATCAGCATAGAACAGTATCAGGTATCTGGTAACAGTATCTGGTATCAGTAGACACTAGACAGTAAGTTACTGTAGGCTGTCCTATTGGCTATTGAATATTTACATTACCTGTGGTTGTGATGTTGGGAGGAATGCTATTGCCTAGGGGCAGAAGTCTCAAACTCAAATTACCAACAAGCCATATTTATAAGTTAAACACTTTTTTTTTAATCATCTTTATACTACATCCAATGTAGACAAAATAAATTAAGAACACATTTATTTCTTCTACCAATTATAATTATTATAATATACCTAACTGTATTCAATGCGGTACCGCGAAAAAAATAACCCCCGAAATTTAGTCCGCGAAAAAAAAACCCTGAATAAATAACCCTGTGAAAAAACAACCCAAATGAGATTTTGCAAAATTATAAAAAGGTGATCATAGGGACAATGGTTAATATTTAATTATTATAACAGTGTATATTTCTATCATATTATTTGATTATTGTTGTTAACTTTTGAGTCAATACCATCTTACCTACCGACTTACCGTACAAATTAAAATTAATCTAAATACTTGTCATTGCGTATAGTAAAATTTTTTTTTTTTTTTTTAATTGATCTTTTTGAAGCCCGGCGACTATGGCCATTAGCTTGGTTGTGGGGTTATGATTGTAGGTAGTAGGGTTTGAAATTGTAGGGTTATTACACGTGTGTGTTGTGTTTGGCAGAATTTCTATTGGGGCACCCGTAGGTTTCTGCCATGCCCCGGAGTGGGGGATGGCGGCACTTGTTCTCCGGACACCGTGACTTGCTCGGAGAAAAATGCCTCCCAGTGGTCGAGAGAATCGAACCCTCGACCGCCAGCGCCGCAGACGACGTGTTCGACCGCTCGGCCACCTCGTCCCCCAATATAGTAAAATTTATAGCATACTTAAAATCATTATGTCCACACAAATAATATTAAATTTGGATTCAATGATAAATTATTGTTTACGATAATAACGATTTAAAGCTGCAGGGACCATCATAGGTGAATATACTGATTAGTGACTGGATAACATACTAACTTAATAGGTACTATTTAAATTCAAAACTTATTTTACTTTTCATTTGTTTTAGGTATACTTATCATTTGGCTTGTCTTAATGACATTTTATAGTTTCGCCTATAGAAATGTTTATAATACATTATTGGGGACGAAGTGGCCGACCCGAGTTAAATTCCTTGGCCACGGGCGGCATTTTTCTTCGGACAAGTCACGGTGTCCGGAGAACAAGTGTCGCTACCCCCACCCGGGCATGGCAGATACTTACGGGTGCCGGGGTGCCCAATAAAAAATTCTGCCAAACACAACACACACGTGTAAAAACCCTACCATTACTACCTACAATTAAAAAAAAAATCCACAATCAGCTAATGGCCATAGTCGCCGGGCTTTAAAGATCAAAAAAAAAAAAAAATAATAATACATTATTGGCATTTCAAAACAAATTTGACTGAAACAAAAATTTACAATTTTATTGAAATCATACATAGACTGTCATTGAAATATCTTGTATATGTGTTAGGTAGGTACACATCATTTTTATTATAGGGTTATTTTTCGGGGGTTTTTATTTCCGAGACTACATTTTCGGGGTTATTTATTAGACAAATCATTTAATATACCTAGGCATTACACAGATGTACTGATGTACATGTATGTATATTGACTTTTTTGTTTAATAGTTATTTATTTTTATTCATGAAACTAGACTATTGGATCATCAACCCCCCTTAGAAAGAATTCTAAAATATATATATAGGCCATAGGGTACCGAGTAATGTAGCCTGTAGGTAACCGAGTTATAGAATGTACCCAGTTTTTGCGAATATACGGTATAAAGATACTTTTAAGCATTTAAAGTTAAGATGAGCGGAGTCCAGTGGTACAGTCGTACAGGGGTTCCCAGGAAAATGTCTACTTTCCACTAATATTAACTTTGAATACCAATAAGTAATAAGTAATAACTTACTGTTGGACGGAGTGGCCGAGCGGATTACGGCGTCTGTTCCGACGCGTACCGTCGCCGGTTCGAATCTCGACCTCTCTCTGGACAACCAACTGTCTGAGAGCGAGGCCGACATCTACCGACTGGGCATGGCAGAAACCTAACTTAGGTACCAAACTGGTAAAGGTACCAAACATGAAATTCTGCCAAAACCAAAAATCAGAAATGTTTTTTTGAAATGACATCAAATTATATGAACAGAAAATTTTCAAAAAATATAAAACATCGTAAAAATGGATCACCAGCTGGTATTGTGCTAATTTGTCTTTCATTTGTATTGAGATATATTACAGTTGTGTATACTTGTTCCGTTATGCATAAGGGAATTTCTTCCGGGGTTGGGAGATATTTTATCTTCAGCATAGATAACTTATATATTATTATAACGTAAATAGTTCAAAATTTATCATCTAAAGCGATGGGGGGGGGGGGCAGCCGGGCAGGTCACGGCTCCATTGCCCCCCTGCGGTGGCCTTGGATTTTGGAAGTAGGAGGGCAAAACTGTTTGTGTAGAAATATCAACATTTATGTATTATGTACTTATTATTACCTACAATCTACATAACTTACAATTATTGTATTTTAGATGATGGTGTTATCCAGCCTCATTGCCATATAACAATAAAGTGTACAAAAGAGGTAACAATGATAATAATTAATATGTACTACGCTTACCTACTGTAATATAAATTAAGAACTTAAATCTTTCTTAACATTTCAATTTGTAAATAGGTACTTCAAAATATCTTAACTTTTATTCACATATTATGACTGTTTATATAAAACTGAAGTATACAATTATTTAATATTTTAGATTGCAGGGTTTAATGGTTTAAGTGAGGCACTCAAACGATTAGACTTTCGTTCTGCTGTACACGATGTCCGCCGTTTTCACTATATTTGTAAACTTCTTGATCTCCTAGTGTCTCATCGACTAAATGCATTGTCTGGTTGTGCTCAAAGGGTTCTATTTAATATAATTGAAGAAGTCGCTCACCAAGGTGAGTGTTTATTAAAAACGATTGTTTCTATATATGTACCTAATTACCTATCTTAACTGCTTTTTAGTATCTCAAAGTCAACAAAACAAACATATGTTAGACCGTCTTTTAGGACAACTTCGCGAAGTTGTCGAATGTGCATGTTGGGGCAGACCACTAGGATCAACAATTTTATGGGAACAACACTTAACTACTATTAATCGTATTCATGAAATAGCTGATCAAATAGAAATTCGTCAAGTAAGATTCATTTTTATGGTAATTTTAAAAAATATAAATGTTATTATAAATGTTTAATTGTATACTTAGCCTGGTGATAATGAAGAACCACAATTTGATCAACTTCCAGAGGAGTGTGTTCGTGAGGTATTGTTACGATTAGCTGATCATCGTGATCTGGAGCGTTCAGCACATGCATGGGGAGTAATGGCACGTTTAGTGGATGAATTACGTATTTGGCGTGAGTTATGTCAATTTCACTTTAGTCCACGTCAAATACAGTCTGTAATTGATAGCTCACCAAGTACCAGTGAAGACTGGCAGCTAATATATCACAAGTTAAGAAAGTATGTTTGTCATATTTAAATATTTTTATTTTTATGAATATTATTTAAAAGATTTGGTTTATTTTAATCACTAAAATTAAATTTTAGATGTTATGGATTACGAGAAGAATATGCTGAAATGATACAGCTATGCCGAAACTGTAGATGTTTGTTTTGGCATAGTATTGGACATCCGTGTATTGCAGACACTGATCCTCATTTTATGGAAAAACTTGAAGATGTTGATAAAAATTCATTGTATGTACCTATACCACCACAAGCTTTTCTTAAATTTTTTTCACTCTAAGATCTTAAATAAAGATGAAGTTGAATCCAGTTTATTAATATTATGGACTATGGTAACTAGAAGTATAATTAAATATTTTTATTTGCACAATTTTATTCATAGAAATTTCAAACTTATAGAATAAGTGTAGGTATTATAAATTATTTAAAAATGTAAGATTAAATTAAATAATGATATTTAAACATGATTATAATAAAAACTGAAACATAAACCAAATTATATTTATATATTATAATTTAAAAGTTATAAAATAAAAAAAAAAATTATTTTTCTAGAAAATCAATGCACATGATAATAATATAGTGTATAATATACTTTTGAAATGTATATATTTTTGACAATCTTAAAGCACACAGAGTTCATTATTGAACATTTAAATATTTGACATTGCATAGTTACATATTCAATTTTCAGTAATAAAATATAAAAGTAAAATTACAACTTTTCAATATTTTCCTTTACTTTTATTTCTGTGAAAAAACAACTGATATTTTCTAGTCATAGTTTTTTAGTATATTATTATTATGGCTCCCTCCATTTAAACTAGTTATTTCTTGAAATTAAATACCAAATAATATAATTAAAAGTTGAAATAAATGTTATTTAGTGTAAACATATCGGGATACAAATTTACAATCATTACTTACTTGTGTAGTTGAGCTGAAATTAGTATTCAAACTTTATGTATATTGATTTGTTAAACATAAAATATGGTTGGTATCAATTCATTTCACTTCGGACATTTTTAAGTTTTTTTAAATAATACATTCAAGATTCCAATATTATTTTTACATAGTCATCCAAAATTAGAATAATAGGTATTATGTTTCAAATACTAAATTCATTCTTCAAAATAAAGAATTTTATTTTATCTTATGCAGGTAAATAGTGTTAAATTAAAAAATATATTATAAATAGTTTTAATGCAAATACAAAATAAAAAAATATACATTGGTGATAATGATAGATGACCTTATTTTTAATAAAATATTAACTTAAAATGTGTGATATATATATATTTTAAACAGACTACTGTTTAATGATTTATTGCGTCTATGTTCTGATATTTCGAATACATTATTTTTTTTCATTAAAAAGTCAACATAATAAGGGTGTTTACGAAAATTTGTCAAGAGGGGCAGAATATTTTAATTTTTCACTTAAACTACTATCCGATTAATCATAAAGTAGGGTTTTTGTGACATGTTCCTTTCGTATTGGTAGGGAATGTAAAAATGATTTACAAATTATGTATTTTATATAACATAATAATGATAATTTACCCAGAAAAAAGCCAAGGGCAACTGTCCCTACTTGCCACACTCTAGGTACCCTTTGCGGACACCCTTGCAACATACTATGAATTAGAGGACCTTTAATCTTTCTAAATTACATTGTTTAACAATATATAATGTTATTGATTGTTTCTATTTTATCAACAATTTAACTACACACCGTTATAGATATATATATGACATAAATATATTTTTATAGTATTATAATTTATGTAATAAATTATTTAGTTTCTATGAAGTATATGATTAAATATATCAATCTAAAATCACTTTAAAGATAAAATTCTACATTGAAATTTACTAGCTAAAAGATTTTTTTTATTAATAAAATAAAATATTTGTTTATTTTTTAATTAAAAATATCATATAACTTATATTGTAATATAACTAATCAAAATATTATAAGTTTGATATTAGGTAAAATCATAATATATTATTGGATATTATATACTGTAATATTATTTAAAAAATTCATATTATGTTACTATCGTGGTATTTCTTAAGCCTTATGAATTTAACCTTAAATCACCCATAAAGATTCAAAACTTTTAAGTAAGATATTAGTGTGCATCAATACATATAGGTTCAAAATTGAGGGTTTTAAAAGTTACATGTGCGATATACTAGCGAAATGTAATGACCTGTATCAGAATCATGCCTTGATATGAGTCTGTTAGTAACTACTATGTATAGATAAGTATCTAATTTTTCTTCTTAAAAATCTTGATATTATATTGATGGGATTTTATTTTGTGTAAATAATGCATTTCAAACAAACTAACATGTAGATTATTTTTAGTGTGTTTTAGATTTAATTTAAATAAATCTTATTAATTTAAAATACTTGGAAGCCCACGATAACTAGAACCTACTTAATTAGTAATTACTAATTTCAATAAATTCCCCTTTTCCTAATTAGATTAGGTATTGATGTATTGTTTATCTAAGTATATACAACAAATTTTATGTCATACATTTATAATTTGTGAAGTGATATAGATTTAATTTTTGTTTTTGAATTTATTTTGAGATAAACTTTTGTAATGAAACATTTTTATATTTTGTTTTGTGAAAATGCATTTGATTTGTGATTTTAATTTTAGTTATTATCTGTTGTATGTGATTTTTTTTGTATTATATGGGGACTTAATTTAGCAGTCATATATTATTTTTATTATGTTAATAACTTGTGTTTTTTTTTCTCTTGTGATGTCTTTATTTTTGTTCTTCAGTAACAGTTTCATTAAATAGTTTATTTATAGTTTATACATTGATTGAGACACATGTAGATGGCGAAGAATAAACAATACAAGTTTAATTGCTAATGGTATACAAATAGGCTTCTAAATATTATACAGTTTCAAATTGTAGTTGTATTATATTATATTTATATGCCAACTGTTTTATGCTGTTGTTAAAATTGTTATTTAAATTTGTTATTATTTTATGATTAAAAACAAATTAATGTAGCTTATGAAATGAAATAAAATGTTAATTAATAGAATTTAATTTTGTTTGAGACTTTCAATGTAGCTTCCAACTGATTTAATTTGTTTTTTACAGTTAGACTTAAAAGTATCTACTTGATTTGTTTTTATTTATTCATATAGCCATTTGACCATAGTCCATAGGCTATGGGTAGAACAAAACAATTTCAGCTTCCTTGGGCTTTATTTAAAATGAAAATATATTCTTCTGTGTTTTATTCAGCACTCAGCAGTATTAATTGTTCTACACTCATCTGAATAACAAATTTGCTTCATTAGAAATGTCGGAATTCTTATTAAAAGTTGAAATTTACATTTTGAAATAGCTCAATCTCTTACATAAGTTATATCATGTGTTGATGACTATAAATAAAAAACTATGGATTATGAATATTGGACGGAATGATTTACATAATATAAAACCTAGAATAACTAATTTAGTTATTTTTGTTGTGATTGTATAATTATATAATTCATGGGTACTTGAAACTTCTAAAGTACACTATTATATATCTATGATAGTATCACTAGTATCAGGGTTTGTTGTTGATGTATAACACGTAATAAGTACCTAATGGATATTGTGATATGATTAATTTGGAATTTGTTATAGGTACCTATTATAGGTCAATTTTTTTTAATACCATAAATAAGTATATAATATGTCTTATATCCTAGAGTCTAGACTGACATACCGTCTCCTCTCAGAATCGTTTTTCTTATACAATGATATTATATCATTGAATTCAAATTTAAGACCATCCATCATACAGTGACCCAATTGTAACCTACTGTACAGCAGAGCACCTTTTTATATAGGTATCGGTATTTAATAGTTCGAAAGGAATATAGGATATGGCAAAGGATGTGTTGTAATGTGGGTTGCCTGTACAAAACATATTCAAAACCGTATGCCAGTGACCAGTGTATTGAAATACATAAAGTGTTTAGTATATTATGTCCACTGTATGACAAAATAATATTAATTATTCTGTATCATAAAAGAATCAACCGATGTTTTTTATTTCATAAATAATTAAAATGTATAGAACTTGCCTAGTTGCCTGTATAAACCCCTTCTATTAATATTTTCGGTTTTGAAATATGATGAAGGCTTTTCATTCCCATCTCATTAAGTAAAAAACACTATAAACAAAAACTTATTAAGTAAATATAATATACTAAAACTACCAAACTTTTATAGCACAGAACAAATTTATAAAGACTTTGGTATATTTAATCTTGATAAACTATTTAAAACAAATGTTCTAATTCTATCATACAAAAATAAAAATCTTATTCTTACTTGTGTTTATGATCACAATACAAGATACAAAATAATTAATGCAATCAAAACAAAGTGTACTAAGTCCTTGGGGCTTAAATGTATAGCAGTTGAGTTGATTCGGTCTCTAAATATTAACATTAAATAGTATTAAATATTAATTTTATACTAATATTAAATATATAGGTACAATTTTGAAGTCAAATAATTAAAAACTAAAGAGAACCCAATAACTTTATGGACGTTTTTCGAAAAATGTAGTGACAGGGAGTTGAATTTACTTGAGATCTCACAAAGAATCTCATAGCAGTCAAGTTTAAAAAAGAAAATATATTATTTTTTACTTGTTGCCCAAAAAATGTTTTTAATTTATTTAAAAACGTTCTGACAACGTAAAACCATTTAAAAACATTTTCGTTTTTTTTGTGCCTTCAAAGAATATTAAAAATATGAATTCGCTGTTTGGAATATTTGTTTTCCATAAAAAAACGGAACATAATATATAATATGTTTGTACATAATATACATGTAATTGCCGCCATTGCCGCTCTCGCGATGATGGACGCAGACAGGTACTTTCAGCCCTCACCGCAGTAATCGTCACCACTCGCCTTGTTGACGCTTCCATAACGATGGATGGTCCAGCTATAAACCAGATACCAGAACCATCGTCTTTGGCCTCAGCGACCATCATAGCCCGCCAAACATTTTATTTTCCAACTCATTATTATGTTGGTGATGTTTGTGTTGTTGTTTCGGTGGTTTTATCATAATTTGGGGAAGGAGAAAAACTTTTATTATTTGAAAACACATATTATTCTTTATCTTTTTTGTAATGAGTGGATTTTACTCTAAAATTACTAAAAAAAATATAAAAAAAATGAATCTGCGTGTATGCGTTTTGTCTATGTTGCGCTTGGGCCAGGGAGAGAA